TACAAACCTTACAACTCAAATTTTTACACACACAAACACACACGCGCGCACACACACACCCCTACATTTTCTATGCAACCACCACAAACCAATACACATTTTCAAAATCCCACAATGTTCCCTATGAGTCTCTTACTAATAACATCTCTTTTCAGAGATGACGAATATTCTAATATCTGTAAGTACAGAGTGTTTTTTTTTTTAGGAAGTCCACACTGTGTCTAATATACTCTATTTTTAATCTATCTTGCTCACCAGAACGCAAGCTTTATGAGGGTTGGATTTTATCTACTTTACTCACTGCTGTATCCACGATGTCTATAAACAGGACTTGAAACATAGAAGGTGCTCAATAAATATTCACTGAATGAATGAATAATCAAAATAGCAGCATTAAGCTTTCCTTTTCTTGAAACTCTGAAGGGCAAAAGTTATTTTTCAGTAGAATTATCTTCATCATTATTACAAATACCTATGGAAATAAGATATTTACAATTAAGCCTAAAACTTAGGTAGAATTGCCTTAGGGTTAACTCAGAATATTGTGCACACCTTAGAAAACCTAAACTCAAGTCTTCTGTGATTGTATTTACATTTAGGTAACCAGAAAACAGTTTCTTCGGCAAATAAAGAGAGTACACATTCTACTAACATCCTTGTAAAAGATACTGAGCTTGAAAATCCATGGAATAAATATCTTACATCTCCATTATATTCTGTTTTTCTAACCATATAGTAAATATCAATTATCTAGCTAAACTGATAGAATCCTCAAATGATTCATTTAATAAGTTAAAACACATTAGGTTAGAAATTACCTTCATGATAGAGATTTTTCCATTTTAAGAGGTGAAAAATTCTATCCTAGCAATAAATCACTGTCTAGTTGGCAAGAGTCACTGGGAGGAGCCCCTGGACCCCCTGAGAACTACGCCAACCTACCCCCCCCACAAATTAAAGTTAGCATCTACATTTCCTGAAATTAACAATGTGTTCAAATTGTTTTATATTTTAAAGTTTACTTGATATCCATTATTTCATGAATTATCCTAATCATAATTTAGAAATATTACTTGTCATTCTTACTATATAAGTGACTGAGAGAAAGGCACAGAGTATTTGGTAGAAATAATAATAATTGTACTAAACCTGTTTAGAAATTTATTCTTAGTTTCCAAATTTAAAAAGCTTTCCCTTTGTTATTATTTTTAGTTTAACTACACCATGGTCAGAAAGTATTTTATTGGGGGCTAGAGCCATAACACAGCGAGTAGGGCATTTGCCTTGCACACGGCCGACCTGGGTTCTATTCCCAGCATCCCAGATGATCCCCCCAAGAGCCGCTAGGAGTAATTACTGAGTACAGAGCCAGGAGTAACCCCTGTGCATCGCTGGGTGTGACCCAAAAAGCAAAAAAAAAGTAGTATTTTATTTGTTTATTTATTTATTTTTTCATTCTTGGGTTTGGGGCCACAATCAGTAGTGCTCAAGGCTTAATCCTGGAATTGTCCTCAGGGATCAAATTCAGGTTGGCTATGTGCAAGGCAAACGCCATACCCACTTGACTATCCAGTCCCAAGAAATTGTATTATTTTTGGAAATCACTGTGTACTCTGAAATAGCTGGATACAGGTTCATTAGTGACCCAATAGGAACTTTAGAGGTTATTAACTTACTTCTGTTCTGTGAAAGTCACTGTTAAAAGATTAGGAAGTGAAACTCAAAGAAAATGAGAAAATATTTGCAAATCACATATCTAACAACAATTATAAAAGAACCTGTGAATCTAGAATTTAGGAAGAGGTTTCAAAACATAAGCTCATTAAAAAAATTAAGAAAAAAAATAAAGGAATAGACTTTTATTAAAGATGTGATGTTAAATGTCATTGGCACTAGGGAAGTGTAAGATAAAACTATGGTGAGAAAAAACATAACTATTGCAAAGCTTACAAAAAAAAGCAAAACAAAATGTCTAGTGCACAATAAAAAGGATGTAAAACCACTGGAGCTTGCAAGTATTGCTGATAGGGATATAAAGTGGTTCAGCCACCCCAAAAAATCCTTTTCCTTTATAGCCAAATATATACTTACTCTATGATCCAAACACACTCTGGAATGTTTACAGAAATAAGAGCTTAAATTCACATCTGGGTATAAATATTTGCCTATAGTAAAAAACAGTATATAAATGTTTATAGGTCTATTAATAAGACAAAACAAAAACTGGGAATAATTCATGAAGTCCTTCAATGGCTGAAAGGATAAAACAAAACAGAACACATTCAAATAATGGAATGACATTCAGTAATGAAAAGGAGTGAATAACTCAAACATACAGTGACTGGATAAATTAATCAGACTCAAAAGAATCTAGTTATATCGACAAAAGAAAAGAGTTAGAAAACAGACCATGGCTGCAAGGGGTAAGAAGGCTGGATCTAAAGTGGTACCATGAGTGATGTTTTTATGGAGTAATGAATGGTGGGGCTGGGGTTACGTGCATCTGCGCGTGTTAAGAAAAGAAAGGGAGAAAGAACTCATATGACATGCTTAAAAAAAAAAATTCCCCTAATTGCTCCTGCAAATTTTTCTCTTCATTTTATTCTGAGGTTGTCCTTCCTCAATTCATAGAATTCTCCCTTCTCTCATTCTTAAAATCACCTAGACATACTAAACGTTTATATTTTCTCAACTGAGTCATGTTCCTTCATTGTAGGCCACCATACTGCTGGCATTACGGTGAAAGCCAATTTTTTTAAAAAATGAGATTACTGAGTTAAAATGAGATTTTATTTAATGATCCATTTCCCTTTCGTGCCTCCCGTCCTGTGAATTCTACAAAAGCAATAATAATGATTTGTTCACTGAGTAATCCAGAGCATAATCACTGTGCAAGGTATGTAACATACCAACCTCAATGAATGCTCAGTTTCTGCATCATGCAGACTATTGTAAGTTGGTTCTATTCTGACTTTTTCCAACCTACTTCCTGAGGCAGAAAGAAAACATTTCATATTTCTTCTTAAAAAAAAACTATCTTAAACATACTCCTGTTTGTGATAGTCAATTAAAATTTATTTATATATCCATTCCCTTTACTTTTTATTTCTGAGGCTGCAATATTTCCCTTTATATACTAAGTATCTGCACTTTTTCCTTCTATATACAGCACAAAAACCCTTTCCTGCCTTTTTGGTTTTTTTTTTTTTGACTGTAGAATATGTTTCTAAATAACCTTGACCATTTAAAATGTAATTCCTTTAATTTGGTATTCTTCATACCAAATTGTGGCTGTTTTATAAATAATTAGGCAATAACATATGCTACCTAAGTAACAACGTAGCTAATTATGTATCTGATCCTGTAATGTCACTAAAACAAGAAAGTTCAATACTGTATTTCATCAATAGGAATTAATGATATCATAGTCACCTAAACAACCTTTAGAAAACTTTTAATGATAAAAATAACAATTTAAAGGTTAGTTTTATTGTTGACCTTAATTTAGTTCACATATTTAAATTTCCATGAGTAGAAAATCTTATTATAACAGCAAGAAAAAAAATCTAACTGCACAAATAATGGCTACTATATTACATTCTGGAGCTGCAAGGTTAAATGTAATAGCCCCTACTTAAAGAGAAAGGGTGGGTGAAGGGAACATTTTGCAAAACTTTAAGATTTTACCAACACATTTTAAATGAAGTCAGACAAACACACTTCATGTCATAAATATTCAGGATTACCACAAACTATCATGTGAAGAAAGTCAAGTTTTATTATAAAGGACTGGTGAAACATAAGATCTATTGTTCCTCTCTCAAATCACGTCCAGGTAAGGTCCTAAATGATTAAAAAAAAATTCTGAGTTCTCAAACCACAATCTGTTTTTTAACAAGTAAGTCTGTATAGAAAATTTTTTAAAAAGGAACAATAAGTACAGAGCTGGAGAGATGGTGTTCTCCAACCGTGCAGCCGATCCTAGTTTTATCCTTGGAAGCCCCCAAGATCCACTTACGTGCCACTGCAACAATGCATCCTCAAGTACCCACAATGAACCACACCAAACCACAGGCTGATTGGCGAGAATCACAAGAAGAGGCCTTTGGGCCTCCTGAGCATCACTCTAAGGCGCCAGAAACAAATTGAAACAAAACACTGTCTATAAAAAAAACTTCAGCCCTACATTCATTTTCAAACTGCCATCCTTATCAGATTTGGGGATTCTGAACTATAAACCTCAAAACCTCATCACTATCTTAACTGATAGTTATCTTTAATTATTCTTTTATCCATTACAATGGTAGTACTCTAGAGACTGCAAGAAGAATATAACCTCTTATTAAAAAGTCACAAGGAAGAACCTAGGTAAAGATACAGAAATGAAGGTTTATCACCCAGAGATATGCTTCTGGAAGGAGGAAAATTTTTTGGATATAACAAGGGTTGACAGAATAGAAGTGTTGTGCAGAATTCAATGATCACTACGTAATGGAAAAAAAGTACAACAACAGGCTTCATTGAAATGAGATTACCTTTTATGACAACAATTATAGAAATTAGGTACATTTAAAATGGCTTTTCCTAGCACATTATTTTGTAATATAAAAATTCTGAGAGCACCAGTGTAGGTGTCTGTCTGATGTGTGGACAAAGAGTTTGAGAGAAGTACAAGAATGATTATCCTCTTTTGTTACCCAGAATTTATTGTTCTGTATGAGTTCTGATACAGATAAGAACATGAGAAAAAAAATCTAAAAAACCTATTATTATAGGCAAAAAATTTTCTTCAACACACAAAATACCGTCTTGAAAAACATGAAAAATGATTTACACCATTCTTATCAGGTACTGAATAATAAGTGTAAAGTTACAGTCAGAAAATGTTAATTGCAGCTATTTCATTTGTTGCCTAATTCTGTCAGGGCATTAAAACAAAAAAATCCACGCCAAGTAATGGAGCCTAAATGACATTAGAGTAGTAAATGCTGTTCACTTACTCTTGCATAGTGGAATTCAACTCCATAGAGTTCTAAGGTACGTGCTGTGTTCAGGTAATTAAATTCAGCTTCTGCAGGAGACAAGCCTCTACAGAGACATCAAAAGGTTAAAAACTGTATCAGTCACAAATATGGACAGCTTAGAAAAGTGCTATGTATCTGCAAAAGTTTTAGCATTCCAATTCTAGAAAGCCTCAGGTACTACAACTCTTCTTAGTTTTATACAGTAACAGATTCTTTGGAAGCTAATTTTTGGTAAAATATTTTTATCTTCCAGAAATACAAAACTGCATAAGGTTTTAAACGCTCCCCCCCCCTTTCTTGCAAATGTTACAAAGTCATATGTTTCTAGATATACATTTAAAAACTTGTTTTGAAATATTTGGTCAATGTACAATATCAGCATTTAAATCATATAGGGTGCTTCTGAAAGGTGCTACAGGTTCTGAGGCAGCCTCCAGAGCAGAACACACGGTATGGTGTACAAGCAGGTATTGATTCTCAGTTAGGACGAAAACTGACCGTCAGTCTTCTATATCACTTTAGCAGAGTAATTTTATTTCTGTTGAACTACATTATGGAGTAGTAGGGTTGGGAATATAGTCAAAGCTCAGGGGTATATGCTTACATGCCCAAGGCCCTAAATTCAATCCTTAATAGCACATGGTCCCAGAGCACTGCTGTGCAGGGGCCTGGAAGGTCCCCTTGTACCAACACCAAATCCCACTAGGTGGCCCTGGTAGTTCAGAACAACACTAGGTCTGAGTACTGAACTCTCAGCTGCATATCCCTAGGAGTGGCACCGTCACAGATTTGGTCTATTTTAAATCTTTGGTTTGATATGCTATGTGTAACATTTTTATTATAAATACACAAGATACCTTCTTATCACATTAGGTCAACTTATTAGGATTCTCACTTATTTTAGCTCGAGTCAATAAATTCTTACTAAAAAGGGTTAGGACAGTGCAGGTCTTCAGGATATACGGTCTCTGGTGCAAATGTTTTTCTTATGTGAAAGCAGTCACAGGTAATAAGGAGATGAGTGAGGAAATCTGCTTCAATAAGTACTCGTGCATGGAAACTGAAACTGGAATTTCATGTGGCACAAAATGTATTCTTTTGATTTTTTTTAAACCGTTTAAAATGCATGGGGTAGGGAAATGAGGGGTGTCTATCTCACAGTAATTCAATAAAATAAGTAGCACTGTCCTCCCATTATTCATGGATTTGCTCGAGTGCGCACCAGTAACGTCTCCATTGTGAGACTTGTTATTGTTTTTGGCATATTGGATACGCCACGGAGAGCTTGCCAGGTTCTGCCGTAAGGACGGGATAGTCTCAGTAGCTTGCCGGGCTCTCTGAGAGGGACGAAAGAATCAAACCTGGGTCACCTGCGTGCAAGGCAAAAGCACTACCCACTGTGCTATCACTCCAGCCTCTTCAGATCGCATAAAATAAATAAAATAAAAAATAAAAATATATATAAAAAAAATGAAACCTGAGCACAACAACAAAAAGAAGTTAGGCTTAAATAAAGTGCAATGAGTATAACTTTCTTAAACCACTTCTTATAGACTATACAGAAGCCATATTGTTTTTATTTCTTGTGAAGAAATATACATTTGGCTTCAGTTAGTTTGTTATATATTATCTTCAATATATTTATTTTACAAAAAAAGTAGCACTGTAGCACTGTCCTCCCACTGTTCATCAATTTGCTCGAGCAGGTACCAGTAACATCTCACAACAAATTGTGAGATTTGTTACTGTTTTTGGCATATTGAATACGTCATGGGTAGCTTGCCAGGCTTTGCCGTGCAGGCAAGATACTCTTGGTAGCTTGTCCAGCTTTCTGAGAGGGGCAGAGGAATCGAAACAAGGTCGCCTGCGTGCCAGGCAAACGCCCTACTGGCTGTGCTATCACTGCAGTCCACAAAAAAAGTAAAATAAAAAAAATTATTTTAAAAAAGACCTTTACATGACTTTTCTAAACTTGTATTAAAACCTGGCAATTCCAATAAAACTCGGGTTGCTTACAACTAAAACAAAAATAAATAAAAAAGCACAGGGCCAGGGTTATATGGCTCAGGAGGCTGGCGTGCTTACTTTGCAGGTGGAAGGAATGTGTTTAAACCTCAGTAGCACATGGTCCTCAGGGCACGGACATACTCCTGAACACTGTGAGAGAAGTTCCTCAGCAATTACCAGTGTGGGTCAAATCCCCCACCCCCCCAAAAAAAAGTATGAATCATTTTTTCGTCCATGGGCTATACAAATATAGACGCTATTGTCAATGTGTTTTAGATCTATGAGTGAAAGGAAGTTGCCTTACTAATAAAATAGACTTTTCAGTTTTTTACAAAGTACTAGGAACTATTTTAATACTTATGATAACTCTAGAAGTATATACCTGTTTCCTTCAATTAAAAAAAAATTTAAAAAAAAACAGACACAGAGTCAGAGAAATTTGAATCAAAATTTCCAATCAAGCAGTCTGGATCTCATTTCATAAACCCTAGGCTAATATAAAGCAATGCCTTAGTTACTTCAAACTATTCTGAATTGTACGTTAAACTATTGCTTTGATTCAACTAATAAATAATACTTTTGAATCAAAGCAATAGTTCTTGAAAAATTCACAAAATATCAATGTTAAATATTGTTACGAATGAAAATATATTACTATTTTAAAAATTACTTACTAATTTAGTATTAAATAAAGCTCCTTTTCTTCCTTTGGTTCATTAACCAAAAAGAATTAAGTCAATATATACAAAAACTAAAAAAGAACTGACATATATAGTGAACTATATATACTATTAACATTCTTTATATACTATTAACATTCTAAAAGTTCATTAAAAGAATTAGCAACCCTCTATAATAATAAATGAATTTAACTATGTATAGCTTATGGTTCTTAATAAAAATTTAAATAAACTTCACAAATTCTATGTAATAAGCAAAGAGCAAAGATATTTTAGTATACTTTTTCATATCAGTCAACTTTCTATAATAGTAACTTCTACATTAAGTAAATACAACAATAACAATGGAAATAAATTAAAAGACACCATTAAAAGATCCACCTAATCCACCTAGTCTAATTAAATGATAAGGACTGTTTCCTCTTATTCAACAATCTAAAATAACTTGTTTTTAAGTTTCTGCTGTTCCTTTACTAAATGTTTTATAGATGTCACCGGTTTAAAAAAATAACAAAAACAAAAGTTTTATCCAATAAGCAGATAAGTAAATAAATTCTTACGTATGTTGCTGATGTAACTTTGCAATTTCTTTTTCAAAATCTTGAGGTTGATTAGGAATGAAAGAATAATCTGAGAGGTAGCCTGGCAAGTTCTCTGACTGAATGTAGTCTCCAAGTTCAGCTAATAAGTGGAAGGAAAATATTTCACACTTAAACCCAGGCCTTGTGCACACATACCATATATACTAAATGGCCCTTTGACCTATCTCCCACTCTTCAGTTTTTGTAGTGAGGTATGGGGGCAAGTCTGAGCCAATGGTACTAAGGGCTCACTCCTGGCAGTATTCAGGACCATATGCGGTGAGGATCAACCAGGGTCGACTACATGGAAGGCAAGTGCCTTAATACCTGTACTGTCTCTCTGGCCCCACATTAATTCAGTTAGTACCCATTATGTTCTAGAAATAGGCCAAGTCAGTTAGTACCCATTACATTCTAGAAATAGACCCAGAGATGCTGTTCAAAACTTCGTCAGCTTGATAACCTCTACACTGGCTTTTAGCACAAAGTTCAATACCAGGTGGTATGTTATACCCAGCACTACAACCAAATAGGCAACCTCCAATCATTGCAGCAAAGACAACAAAACAAAGGGAAGGAAAGAGGGAAATATTTATGGAAGAAAATCATTTCTATTTCTAATGTTCCCATTTTTACTAACATGATAGGATTTATTGAAATTACAGCTTAAGCAAGTTACAACAATGAAGTTAGCATCCTTTTAGGTCTCAAACTACTTCAGAAAAATTTTTTTTCAGGAACTGAAGAAACTGCTAATTAGGGAATTAGGATACTTTATTTTTTTTCCCTTGACAGTCGCATTTTTCTGTATGGTGACATACGTTCAAAGGACACATACATTAAAGCAAGGTACTAGCCACAAAGACTGCGATCATATGCCATTTATCACCAAAATATTAATACTTACACTGAACAGCAAATGAAGCCAAAAGGGCAGCAGTATTATAAGGACAGGGTAATCTAAAAAAAAAATACATATATAATAAAATATATAGCCCAAGGTTAAATAGTAACCTCTGAAATAGCATAATTTATGTTATACTTTTGACATGTCAAAATTTTATGAAACTTACATACTTACATAATGAACTTAGATTAGACTTATCTGATAAAAGCAATTCATCCTGTATATAATCATTGTTCAACAGATAACTTATTTACAATAATCACTAATCACTTGATACAGAATGTATTTTTAAAAGCCCTAACTAAAATTTAAATGGCCTACCTTCCAGTAAGAATGTCTTGCTTAATTTGCAAAAAATACTGGTACCTTAAAAAACAAAAACAGATAGTTAGCATTTATTGTAATGATAACACAAATGCATAGTTTAAAAAAAGTAAAATTAACTTAACAAATAAAATATTTAAATGTTGGCTTTTAATTTATATATTAATTTATATATTTGTTAAGTTAAAATATGCTTTCATAAATTCATTAAGCCAGGTCTTTAAAATGAAATTATAACTTTAAATATGTTGTCCTCTACCTCTGTTAAAAAAAAAAAAAAAACTAGACCTTTGGCTTGTGCTTCAAGCCCATGTTCTCCTTTGAACATATACCTTGTTTGCTTGCCTCTATGTTTCTTTGTTTGCTTGCTTATTTCCACTCTGGAGAAGCCTGTGTTCTCTCTCAAATATGTACTTCTCTCTTTCCTTCCCTTCACATCTTTCTAAGTAAGTTTTACTTAAAAAAAAAAAAAGCCAAAAAAAACCCCTCAACTATCTCTCTTCCCAAAGGTAAAGGTAAAGGCCCTCCCGTTGATCGTCGATTTGCTCGAGCGGGCCCAGTAACGTCTCCATTGGAGACTTTGTTGTTGCTGTGTCTGGCATATCGAATACTCTCGGTAGCTTGCCGGGCTCTCCGAGAGGGGCGGAGGAATCGAACTCGGGTCGGCCATGTTGGCCGCTTGGTAAGGCGAACGCCCTACCCGCTGTGCTATCGCTCCAGCCCTTTACTTTACTTTAAAGCCCTTTACTTTACTTTACTTTAAAGCCCTTACTTTACTTTACTTCCCAAAAATAGGGGAAAAAATAGTAACAACACTTTTTGGTCCACATCCAGCAGTGCTCAGGCACCAACTATGGTACCAGAGATTGAACCTGGGTCAGCTGCATATAAGGCATGTACCTTACCTGCTGTACCATTTGTCTGTCCCCAAAAGACTCAAGATTTTTAAGAGGTTCATATTCATAAAAAAAAATACTCTAAAGATCATTAAGAGTATTTTTATATGGGAAACAAGGAAAACTTGAGTCAGAGACATAGAAGACCTGATAGTAGCAATGCAGTAGAGATTTACAGGAAAAAAATCTTTCTGTTAAGATAGGAAACCAGATCCAAGTACAAGCCTAAGACTATGTGCTGATTGTCTTACTAGCAAAAAACTGTGAATTAAAGCAAAGCATCTTCTTATTTCCTGGAATTAAGAATTATGCTTTTTTTTTTTTGGCAGGCTTTTGTGTCGACTGTCTTACTAGCAGAAGTTGTAAATTACAGCAAAGTACCTTCCTATTTTACCAATGTTAAGAAAGCTTTATATGTTTGTGTTTGTTTTGGGGCCATACCCTGCAGTGTTCAGGGCTTACTCCTCGCTCTACACTCACGAATCACTCCAGGCAGTGCTCTGGGGACAAAATGGGGTGCTGGGGATAGAGCCCCGGTTGGTATATCAAAGCAAGCACCTTACCCAATGTATTATGGCTATGACCTGGAATTAAGAAATCTTTATCTGACAACTGATCTTCAGTAGAAAACTTACCACAGTAGTGAATGGGGGGGTGGAGTGGGCGCCGGCGGCGGGGGAGGACACTGGGACAGTGGTGGAGGGAAGCGGACACTCTAGTGAAGGATGTGGTTGTTGAGTGTTTTATACATGAAATCCTACCATAAGCAATATTGTAAGTCACAGAGCCTAAATTTTTTTTAAAAAGTTTTCTTTGGTTAGTTAAAAGGGGACATTAAGGTCCCTTTGCTACTATTTTATTATTAGAAATTCTAAGAACACAATTTCTGATCAAAACAAAACCATTACAAGAAAGTAATGTTGAAGCTGTTTATAACACTGTCCTTAAGACATTGCTAATGGCTAATCATAACCCTTTGAACATATCAGTGCTTAGGTAAAGATACCTCTGCTGAACGTTGGCAAAAGACCAAATATTTTTGCTTTAAAGGCTTAAAGGAACTTGAAAGACTGATTTCATTCTACAAAGAATTTCATAACAATATTAAATTATCTAAGAATGCAACTAAGGTTTTCAAAAAATCAGATATTCATGGCAAGCTGATACAAATATTACAGCTTCATATATAAATGAAATATATAAACCGTGAGGCTTATTAAATATTATAAATATACCTAATAGTCAATCTAAAATAACATAGTCCTATCAAGCCTACTTGGTTTAATAAATAAAAATTAAAGGTTACTGGAGGGAAACAATCTTACTTACATTTAGGACAGAAAGGTCATGTATACAGCTGACATAATATTATAAATCCTACACAAATAATAGAGTGGTTGAATTTCTACTTACATACCAAGCAGTAAAGACTGATAGAGAAAAACCTGAATTAAAGTTCTAGATCAAACATTAAACAAAGAACTTAAAATCTGTTTGAGTATTATTTTCTCTTTCACTATGGTATATGGGATCACTCCCTGGCTATAACTTTCTATATTTTTTAAAGGAAATATTATTACTTGCCTAATAGTGCAGATATACTATGGGCTTTTAATGAGGAATAAAAGCACAATTTTAAAAGATAATCTCAACCCTTAAGACAGAATAATGATTAACAATTGCTCTTAAAAATTATTATTTTGGGGCTGGAGTGATAGCACAGCGGGTAGGTTGTTTGCCTTGCATGTGGCCAACCCGGGTTCGACTCCCAGAATCCCATATGGTCCCCCAGGCACTGCCAGGGGTAATTCCTGAGTGCATGAGCCAGGAGTAACCCCTGTGCATCACTGGGTGTGACCTAAAAAGCGCAAAAAAAAAATATATATATATATATATATTATTTAGGAGCCAGAATGATAGCACAGTGGATAGGGCATTCATTTGCCTTGCACATGGCTGATCTAGGTTCACATAGTTTCACGAGCATTCCAGGAATAATTCCTGACTGCAGAGCCAGGAGTAACTAACTCCTGAGCATCACTGGGTGTGGCTCCCCAAAAAGTTGTTTATTATCAGTAAATGTTTGATTTGTATACCTATTTTATATAACCAGGATCATATAAGCATTCCTCAGGAGAAAAAGGGTCTCAAGCAGAAAAAGCTTAAAGAAGCCGTGATAGACAATAGTGATGAGTAGCACTGTAGCACTGTCTTCCTATTGTTCATCGATTTGCTCCTGCGGGCAGCAGTAACGTCTCACAACAAATTGTGAGATTTGTTGTTACTGTTTTTGGCATATTGAATGTGTCATGGGTAGCTTGCCAGGCTTTGCCATGTGGGTGAGATACTCTCGGTAGCTTGCCGGGCTTTCCGAGAGGGGCGGAAGAATTGAACCTGGGTGAGCCATGTCAGCTGCATGCAAGGCAAACGCCTTACCTGCTGTGCTATTGCTCCTGCATGTAGTAATGAGTAAAGATTTTTAATCTGGTACCAAGAGAATGAATCTGCTGAAAAATCCAGGTATGAGGGACTTGTGACTGAAATCTGCAGGCTTACACAGAGCCAGGAATGCGCCCCCCTCCTCCCGTCTCCCTTCACTTCTGGGTCCTCAGCAGTCATGCCCATGAACTGTCTCTGGTGCCATGTAAGCACATGAATAGCCATGATCCATAGACTCACAAATAAATCTCATAAGAGAGCTTCAGAGATGCCTCCAGACCCCCAAATCACCATCAAGTCACCATCCAGTTAACAGTTTAACTCTAGCTCTAGCACCCTATTTAAAATTTTAGAATCCCCAGAGCAATATCTCATACTTTATGCCATTGACATGCCAAGAGTAGCACACCACATCTGCTGGGGTATAAGGTAGAAGGCAACAGGTCTTGATCAAAATAATCATAACAAGCAATATAAAACAAATTATTTAGCATCTCCCTTTGAGGTAGGCTTAGGCAGTGATGAGAAAATTTGAAATAATGGTGGTGGGAAGGTGTAATGGTGGTGGGATTGGTATTGAAATACTGAATGCAACAAATTATTGTGAACAATTTTATGAAAATAAGATTTAAAAGAAATTAAAAAGCAGACAAAACTGTCACTGTGCAGCATCCTTCAGACACATGTACAGCAGCATCTGATCACAACAATTAGTTACAACAGCTCTTTTCAGCAATTTTTCACACACTGAAAATTTTGGTATCAGTATGGCAAAGGAGGCTCATTATGGCCAAATGGAACAAAAGAGGTGGTCTTGAATTCCAATCTCCTAAAATCTTCCCAGTCATCCAAGGAGAAGGAAAACATATAATGAAACATCTATTAGTCATTCTGTGTACTGGATGAACCCAGAAATACAACCTAAGTAAACTTTACTTTCTTAACTTGAAATTTTCACTGTGGTTTTTATAATATTTGAAAGAAAAATGTGCTCCAAAAACCCACCTTGTATATTCTTCTTGCAACTTGTTCGGGTCACTTACAAAAAATTTGACTCTAAAGTTCAAATTGTAAGGTGATCCTCCTAGAATTAATAAAAGCAGTTCTAATTAATCAAATTAAATCAATCCTTTATAAAGAATACTTATAAAACACAAAATAATTATATATGCTCACTCTTTAGCTGTTTCCTTATTGGTTTGTTTGCATCCAGCCACTTCTGAAAAATAAATAAATAAAACATTTCTTCTTTCTTTGAGAAACTAATACATCAATTCTTACAAATCTGTTGATATTTAAAAAATTAATATTAAATATGGTTTTTAAAATAAGAACTACCTTGAGGAAATGACTAGAGACAGGTATCAAACATAACAAATTATGTTAGAAATTACTGAATGTGTGGTGACTTTAAGGTGTTTTTTTTTTCCACCAAATTATACAAATTTTTTATATACCAAATTATGCAATAATCTCACAGACATGGGAAGTGATAACTGTTCATATAACCATTTAAGAGTCTGGCAAATTTATTTAAATTGTCTTTACTTTTCTTGAAAATACGCTAGGCTTTATGCTCTCAAATTTAAGTACAGACGATGAAAATCTATTCTTAAAAATTTTATTGGGGTGGAGTTCATGCCCAATTCAATCAGCTAATCAGTGGCTGAATAAATAGCAGTACTCCTACATTTAAAAAAAATTTTATTGGGGGGCACAGAGCTTTAGCACAGCAGTTAGGGCATTTGCCTTGCACATGGCCAACCCAGATTCTATCCCCAGCACCCTGTATGGTTCCCACAGTCCACCCGAAGTGATCCTTGAGCACAGAGCCAGGAGTAAGCCCTATGCACTGCTGATCGTGGCCCAAAAAAACCAATCCAAACCACACCAATAAACAAAAAAAAAAAACCCAAAACCTTTATTGGCCAGGGCTTTAACTTAGCGGTAGAACACATGCTTCACTATACTGTCCTTGGCTTGCTCCCTGTTTTTTTTTTTCCAGAAGAGAAAAAAATGAAACAAAACAATTACCCTTCTCCCAAAGTCTACAGTAATTTGGAAGGAGATAATATCTACTTTGGGGAAGGACTGCTTTTATCTGTGTGAAAATTTTAAGTAGTCTCATCACTACCGACTGTTAGGAAAACTTACAATTCAGAAAAAAAGAGTTCAACTGCTAACATGATTCCATGAAAAAATTTACAGACCCATAAATGAAATAAGAGAGGTGGCAGTACTTTCAAAGTAAAAGACAAGCTGGAGAGATAGTGCAGCTGTAGGGCATTCGCCTTGCATACGGCCAAGGCTGGTTCAGTTCCACCCTGGCATGACATCTGGTCCCCTGAGCATAGAGCCAGCAAGAGCAAGCCCTGACAACTGCTGGATTTGGCCCAAAACAAACAAAACCAAAGTAAAACTAATTCAAGCTTATGTATCTCTGTTTATGTTCCTTAGTCCTAGCATCCATACTTGATTCCATGAATAATTAGTATTAAAGCACATAAATACCAACACATGAATATTAAAGCATAAATATATCAACAAATAGCTGGGAGTAGTTTGTGAATCTTTTACCTTCATGATCCAACACACCAAATCCAGCTGATACTATTTCAAACTAAGAACCTAGTATCTCTGCTTCGAGACCATCCTTATCTCTGCTATAACTTTGGTCTTTGGCTCCTATTTGCTTTTCCTCCTTTTCTTATCATCTTCACAATCCTTCATTCAGGACCTAGTGTGATCTTTTAAACCATAATTTGATGCATTTGTCTAATACTGATAATTTCTCATTGAAAGGTCCAAAATCCTTCGTATGATCTCGTCTTACTTCTTCTATTTTCTATCTTATTTACTAAGGCCCAGTCAAATAGCTTTTCTTTTTCTTCCAAAGATTCCATCTTAGGTCATCAGTTCCAAGCTACCCTGTGTCTAATGTCCTTCTCAGTTTTCCTACTGTTACTTTCTTTTCACTGTCACTGTCACTGTCATCCTGTTGGTCATCGGTTACCTCGAGCAGGCCCCAGTAACGACTCCTTCGTCCTAGCCCTAAGATTTTAAAAAGTGCCACATTCGAGGCTCTTTCAGGGTCAGAAGAATGACCTATAAACTTCAGCTTAGATGCTACGTCCTCAAACAGAACTTTATTGACTGCTCTATTAAAAGTATGTAAAGAAGCTTCTTAACAACTAGTTCTTGTGGCTTTTTAGAGGTGGGGTGAAAGTCATTTTTATCTTGTACCAAAGTGAATAGCTTAATAGTATTAAAATATTTAGAAAATTAGTTGCAGAGCACTATACCAATCCCTCGACCATCATTCCACAGTATTATCCCCTGACCAACACACCTGATCATATCTCAAGATGTTTTCATTGTCTAGCTGGATTGTCTAATCCTTTTGTTTCTTGTATTTTGCACTAGAAAGAGGTTATCTAATATTTATCTCTTACCTTCTGGCTCACTTTACTTAGCATGTTCTCTAATTCCATCCAAGTAGCAGCAAACTATAAAACCTAATTTCTTTTCCTAATTCTCATAGTATTCATTGTGTGTATATGTAGATATCTGTATGGATATATATACATATATCACATCACAATTTCTTAGTGCACTCTTCTGTTATTGGGCACTTGGACTGTTTCCCGATCTTAGCTATTATAAGTAGTGATGAGAAGAAAAAAGACATACCGATGTCTTTTCAGATTAATGTTTTAGTGTTCTTGGGGTAAGCTGCAGGAGTTGAACTGCAGGATCTTATGGAAGTTCTATTCATAAGGCATTACTTTGGGGGTGGGAGGGTAGGAGAGGGTGGTCACATCTGGCAGTAGGGTAGCTTACTCCCATTTATTCATCTTCTCACCATCTATTAATCGAGTGAACTGTTCACATTTTCTATTGAAAAGCCATAAACTACATTACTTTGAATATTCAGATAAAATTTAAACTGTGGTTTGCTAATATCAAGTATTAACAGGGATGGACATTTCATCATTGACTATTAATTTATGCAGTAGTTTATATTTAGGCCTGACATTCTATTTGCAGTCATCAGGCATTTGAAATATAATGCAGATTATGTGACAGTTTGATTATACCTATTATCTATATTGTAATTACTTTGTAGAACTATATTATTTCTTTGCTGCATCTATTAATGTAAAAAATATTCGGTCTTACATAACATCTTTTTCTATACCTACAGTTTTTCTTTTTTTATTATGAAAGTACTTTTCCATACTCCATCATTTTGAGATTTATAGTTCAACATACATTAGTTGCTTTTTGGTTTGTTTATAAGTATTTGTTGAGCATGTACTATGCTACAAGCATTATTCTAACTACTTTACATGTAAAAATTCACTTTATCTCTGTACTGTAGACGAGGTGCCGAGTGGTTAAGGCAATGGACTGCTAATCCATTGTGCTTTGCACGCGTGGGTTCGAATCCCATCCTCATTGGTTTCTAGGTGCTCTGTGTTATACTTAGGGCTGGAGTGATAGCACAGTGGGTAGGGCATTTGCCTTGCACGTGGCCAACCTGGGTTCGATTCCTCTGTCCCTCTCAGAGAGTCTGGCAAGCTACTGAGAGTATCCTGCCCTCACAGCAGAGCCTGGCAAGCTTCCTGTGGCGACTTGATATACCAAAAACAGTAACAAGTCTCACAATGGAGACATTACTGGTGCCCGCTCGAGCAAATCGATGAACAACAGGAGGAGAGTGCTATAGTGCTACAGTGCTACATCTCTGTATTAATTCCAGTGCTGGCACTATTATTTCCATTTTCACAGACTGCTCTTACTTCCACAAGTACATAAGTTCATTTGGGTGCATCTCTTTCTTGGTGCTGGACTTTAAATGTTGTCTGTTTTGTTTAGCTATTATTTTTACAGATGAAACTCCCTGCCAACTTCTTACAGATGAAACTCCCTGCCAACTTCTTTATAAATCCTTGTGGATAAAAGGATATACAGCTTCACTTTAGTTTAATTTGTAAAAGTTGAATGATGCTGCCAAGAGGCTGTGTTAACTAGTTTTCCAGATAAAAGGGCCATCAGTCACCGTGGGCACTGACTTGCTTCTCTAATCCAAGTTTCCTCACTCAGTGGCAAACACAACTGCTTACCATATGTTCCATAAGAAAACAATTGAGCATCTAACTGGTTTTAGACAATGTATCTCCTATTTAAAAATTCCCCTAAATCCATGTGCTAGGAGGACCCACTCGGGATGGGAGATGCAGGCTGAAGTAAAGTAAGTAAAGTAAAGGCCCTCCCGTTGATCATCGATTTGCTCACTATAAAACAAACATGATGGTCACTTAATATCTCTGCTGCGAACCACAACACCCAAAAAGGGAGAGAGAGAGCAAAAGGGAATGCCCTGCCACAGAGATGAGGTAGGGTGGAGGGGACAGGGTGGGGGTGGTGGGAGAGATGCTGGGACCATTGGTGGTGGAAAATAGGCACTGGTGGAGGGATGGATACTCGATCATTGTATGACTAAAACACAAGCACGGAAGTTTGTCAGCCTAAAACTGTACCTCACGGTAATTCACTAATAATTTTTTTTAAAAAAATCCCCTATAAGTCCAAAATCTCAATTTTCTCATATGTAAAATAGACATAATAGTAACTATGTTGTTAAAACTTTATTTCGTGGGAAGGAAATGGCGCCCATGAGAGCATCCTGAATGAATAGTATGCACACTAGATGTTCAAGCTCACTCTCTCTGGACTAGATTCAATCCCTGGCACTGCACCCCTGATTATCAATGGGACTGGTCAGCAATTCATCATGAGTATCCCTGAGCACTGTGCCAGGTGGGGCACCAAAATAAAACAAATATAACACATAGTCAAGTGTTTGTGTGTGTGACTAATCACTTAATCACTTAACTTCCTGTTAGTCGTCGATTTGCTCGAGCGGGCGCCAGTAACGTCTCCATTTGTCCCTGTCGCGTGCTAGTGTAGCCCAATGGCATCTCTTCGCTCCGGGAACATGGAGGGCCTCAAACCGATCGTTCATGACCTTGACAAAGAAGTCTGACCATCTGGTAGGTGGGCGGCCACGCGGTCTCTTGACATCCCGTGGAATCCAATCAGTAACAGCTCTAGTCCAACGGTCGTCTTTAAATCTCATTACGTGACCAGCCCATCTGATTTTCGACACCTTGGCAAATGAGACAGCGTCCCCGATCCTTGATCGTCGACGGATGT